CTCGATTGGTCTGACTGGTCTGAATTGGTGCGGCCGAACCAATGCAAACCATTCAGGCTCAACTCGAAATGGTGCAACTACTCCCAATTGGCTCAAATCGAAATGGTGCAACCATTCAAACAAAAGGTACCTTTTTGCTCCAAAGGACACTACTTTTCAAACCTTATAAATAGACCCTAACATTCCCAGAATTCTTCACTTCAATCCAAATACTAAAGGACACTACTTTTCAAACTTTATAAATAGACCCTAACATTCCCAGGATTCCTCACTTCAATCCAAATAAAAGCCTACTGCATATTCAGCCTTCCCTTTACAGATTCTCTCGAAAAGTTCTACACAAAGTACATCCGTTAGCACCGTTGCGGGGAAATTTCGTCTTAAGGACAGAGACAACTCGCCTCGGCAAAATTTCCGTTCATAGCAGATTCACAACAATCTTAAGACGAAATCTTACTTTCAATCTGCAAAATGGCCGAAGGAGACGACAACAACAACAACAACACCCCGGAAAACCAACATGTTGATCCACCAAACCAAGGAGTGCAGCCGCCAAATGTTCCTGTTCCTTTCCCAAACGGTGCTGTTCCACCTCCGGCTCTTCCACCTGCGTTTCGTCCCGCCCCATACCCTCCTGTCGTCGCTCATGGTGAAAAACCGGAGAAGTTTAAAGGTATTGATTTCAAACGTTGGCAACAGAAATTGCTCTTTTACCTCACCACTATCAACTTGGCTGTTTTCGTTACGGAAACACCTCCCGCTGTGCCTGATGCCAACGCTACCTTGGAAACGAGAGTTGCGTGGGATGCTTGGTTTCATTCCGACTTCTTGTGTCGGAATCACATCTTGAATGCTCTAGATGATTCACTATACAATGTGTATAGTGCGATCAAAACCGCTAAGGAACTGTGGGAGTCCTTAGAAAACAAGTACAAAACAGAAGATGCCGGGTTGAAGAAATTCATCGTCGGGAAGTTCTTGGATTTCAAAATGGTGGACAGCAAGACTCTTATGAGCCAAGTCCAAGAGTTGCAACTCATCATGCATGATATTCATGCCGAAGGAATGAGACTAAGTGAATCCTTTCAAGTCGCTGCAATGATCGAAAAGCTACCACCGCTTTGGAAGGATTTCAAGAATTATCTCAAGCACAAACGCAAGGAAATGGGGCTTGAAGATCTTATCGTGAGGCTAAGGATTGAAGAAGACAATCGAAAGACCGAGTCCAAAACCGGCAAGCAGCAAATGGAGGCTAAAGCACACCTTATGGAACCTAACGTGCAAGTTAGCAAGAAAAGAAAGGCTCAAGGAAATGCTAGTGGCGGTGGAAATGGAAGCAACAACGGCAAAGGAAAATGGAAGCCAAAGAAATTCAAGTTCAATGGAACGTGTCACAATTGCGGCAAGCCAAATCACATGGCAAAGGATTGTCGTCAACCCAAAAGGCAAGCTAACATGGTCGAAGACAAAAGTGTTCCTATCGACATGTCAGACCTCAACTTATGTGCCGTAGTCTTTGAAGCTAACTTGGTGGACAATCCCAAGGAATGGTGGCTCGATACGGGCGCAACTCGCCACATATGCTCCAACAAGGAGTCGTTCTCCTCCTACACTCCAATCAATGGTCAAAAGGTGTTCATGGGAAACTCTGCCACCTCGGATGTTGTAGGCATAGGAAAGGTTATTTTGAAGCTCACCTCCGGGAAGGAGCTCACTTTGGTTAATGTAATGCACGTTCCGGATATCCGTAAAAATTTAATTTCCGGAACATTGCTCACTAAAGCTGGTTTTAAGTTAGTTCTTGAGGCTGAGAAATTAATTCTCACCAAGAATGGTTGTTTTATAGGGAAAGGCTATGTTGATAACGGCCTTGTTAAGATGAATGTAATGACGCTTGTTCACAAGCTTGATGATAATAAAATTACTACTTCTATGTACTTGATAGAGTGTTCTAAATTATGGCATGTTAGACTAGGACATGTGAATTTTAAAACACTCAAAAAGTTAGTAGACTTAGAACTACTACCTCATCTTAAATTCGATTATCAAAAAGGAAAATGTGAAACTTGTGTAGAAGCAAAAATGACTAAATCGTCATTTAATTCTGTTGAAAGAACAACGGAACCTCTAGATTTAATTCACAGTGATATTTGTGATTTAAAATTTGTGCAAACTAGAGGAGGAAAGAAATACTTTATTACGTTTATTGACGATTGCACTAAATATTGTTATGTGTTTTTGCTAAGAAGCAAAGACGAGGCCTTGGAAGCTTTTAAAAGCTATAAAGTTGAAGTGGAAAATCAACTCGGAAGGAAAATCAAAATGATTCGAAGTGATAGAGGTGGAGAATATGGTGCTCCATTTGATGAATTTTGCTCTCAAACCGGCATTATTCATCAAACTACGGCACCTTACTCTCCCCAATCAAATGGTGTTGCTGAACGCAAAAATCGGACTCTTAAAGAAATGATGAATGCAATGTTGATAAATTCGGGTCACATC